AAGCAGTCAGAAGGCAGCAGCTGGAGGTCAGAGGTCAGATGGTGGACTACCTCACTGAGGAGTAGATGAGGTCTGGTTCTACTGGAAGCTCTGGTGGAAGAGAAACAATCTGGCTATAAAAAATGTAATAAAGCTGCATGAAATCATTTTACAGCAAGATAGAATCATACATATTTAAGATGAGAGCTTTTAGCTTATAAAATATATATCTAATCTAATATTCTACTTTGCCAGATAGCAAAGAACTGGAAAATATACAGTATTGAACCACTGCTCTGTAACTCTAGGCCACTAGGGGGCGCCAAACTATTAACTTGCAGGTTTAGCTGCTCTGAAAGCTACTGACAACACTGGACTATAGATAAATGCACCAGTCTCCCTCTGGGTTCTGGTTCTGATAGGAGACCACTTTGGACCAACAGACTGAGAAATAATCGAGTTTTCAGTTAAAGGCCACATTCATCCCTCTAGATTAATAGATAATAGAATATGTCTGACAAGATAAGGCTCAGATCTATTTTGCTGTCAAACATATTTTAAAGGGGGTTCAGTTTGCCATTGGGGCTCTGGGTCACATGAACCTTTCAGTGATGAATCTCTCCAGTTATAAAGGAGAGTTTTTAGAACAGCAGTCTGCATGGAGCATCAATACACACCAATGTTCCTCTACTGACCAGGGAAATCATTTTATTCATCTCAAATTAAGCTAATAGTTGGACCAAAAATAAAAATGAAAACTAGGAAAGCTAACTTAAATTGAAACCATCTATTCTTTTTTAGGATGTTGGGTAGCAGAAGATCTCTGCAGCTCTGCAGACATGAACATGTCCCCTCCTACCTGCTTGGAGGCCTCTGCTTCCATCAAGGCTGTAGAAATAGATCTGGCTTTGGACAGCAGCTCTGTTCCTGGATCAGTGGTTCTGTATTCACAGACCGACCAGAACTTGATGTCTTCCTCCCTGAACTCTGTCCTGAGGAACTGAGAGAAGGTTTCCATCCCATCTGACAGAAGAAAAACACAATGACAGAAACACTGTTAATGCTGAGAGATGAACAACAGAGAGATCAGGTATAACTGGACCTGGACTATTGTATGGAGACAGTTCTGTTAAATACTTTACAGGTTTCTGGATCATTGGATCAATTAAACTGGGATAAAGTTATACTACTTTTTTTAAACACTTCTTTGATCTTATTCACTTTGCTCAGGCTAATTGTAAGCCCACAGCCTGCCATATGTTGAAAGGGCAATATTTTTTGCCATTACTGTTACACAAGTGATGGCATAAGTACGGGGGGATGGTCATTTATGAACGGTGATGATTTGTATGATTTTTTTTAAGAAGGGGGAAGCCACCCCCTCTCATCCCCCCAACTTGAGTTTTTTGTATTATTTAGTTATAGATTCACAAAAGCTGCAGCTTCTAAACATGTTCAGATTTCTAATCTAATTTTGTTGTTTTGTCGCCTGTCAGTGGAAACGTTTTGATGATAAAAAGGAAAGTGGACGACCACAGAGCTGCTAGTCTGTTAAACAGTACAACCACAGCCTGCAGACACAGACGCTCCAACCATCTCCTATTTAAAGACGTAGTGGTCCTCCAACAGTTCCTGAGCAGCCACGTGACTGGGTGACGGTACACAGGAAGCGTAGTCATGGTTCTCTGCCCACTCATCACCACCAACCCGTCCATGTTTCTAACCAATGTTTGTGAGTGCATCAAGCTTAGTGATGCATCCACTGAGAAGCCCACTCTGGTACTCGGCAACTCCATAGTCAGAAACGTGGCTTTAGAGACACCAGGGACCATAGTCAGATCTTTGCTGGGGGCCAGAACCGCTAACCTGACAACAGCCAGATGCATGTCTCGCTCCGCCTAGCTCCACTCACATACATCTGGGAACCCGCTCATTGAAAGTGATTTCCCCAACCGAATTTATGGTCTGGCCAATCAGGACGCAGGGCGGGTGTGTCCTGCATGTGACGTAGTGGAGAAGCGAGTTCTGTACGTCGTTCGTCTTTACCTTTTTGGTTGGCTTCTTTTTTTAAAATAAGTCTGCTGTGCACAATGTTGCCTTTTATCCGCACATTTTCATGGCACAAACGACATTGATCATTTACCGACATTGCGCTGATTCCACTGTTGCTATATCCAAGATGTCGGCTGTTCTGTTTTGTTTTTTTCCTGCGTCTTTGTTTTTTTCTCAGAGCGTCACGGGTTAGCTTCGGTGTGAGTGGTTGAAATAGCATGTCGATAAAGATGACAGACAAGTGGCTTATCCAATCATATGCAAGGAGTTTTGATAAGGCCCAGCCTTCAGTAAAGGCAATTCCTATGGCGGGTTCCCAGATGTATGTGATTCGAGCTAGGCGGAACGAGACATGCATCTAGCTGTTGTCAGGTTACAGAACCGCAACAACCAATCCTACCTGAAACTGCTGACTAAGGATAAGGTTAAATACAGTATGATTGTTATTCACGCTGGTCTAAAGCGTAAATATATGTAAGCAGAGACAGCAGTTGCTTTGGGCCCATAACCTCTTAGGGGCCCCATCACTGACACCTGGTAGACCCCACATGCAAATGTAGACTAGAACATATCTTTGCAGATGTAATAGTGCGAAAAATTGCTCTTAAACCCACCTGTTACTGAAGTGGATGACCCCACCAGACCGTAGTTATACCCCAACACATGCTGTTTAAACACGACACCATCAGCAAAGCAGACAGTGGTACTTTTAATTACTATGTTAATAACTGTGTATAGTTCATTAGACGGTTGGTAAAAAATACACTCATATAATATGTTTCAAATTAAAATGTATTTGAGTATTTTATTTTTTACACTACGACTTAGAATTATGGTTAATCCAGAGCGCAGATTAAAACCATAACCGTTATGTAAAATGTGTTAGCGACTATGGATACCAAAAAGAGGTACTTAAGCGGATTCCAGAAAACAAAAAGCAAATAAAGAGCTGCTGGAAGAATGGAAAATACTTCCCAAAAGAAACACGTTCTTTCAAAGAACCGAAGATGGAGAGGTGGACGTTGGTGCTGCAGTGAGTAAAGATGGCGACCAGGAAATTAATGGAGGGAGCGTGGGTGAGGAGGGGGGCTGTGAAGCTCAAGGTAGCCCCATGAGCCTGATAAGACTCATTTTAGAGCACAATATATTAAAGTGTGTATGTATTGGGCAAGTTCCGGGTTGGTTGTCTACAGCGGGGTGGGAGGGGTGCTAAGGGATGATGAGCATCTCCCTGAAATAAGTTTTTGAAACTTGGGATGTCTGTAACATGTGGCGGTGCGCTGTCACCAATGCTTCCATTAAAGGTGCGCTGTCACTATTTTTCCGGGTTATGTGTGATCATATACTACTGAGAATTACATAATTGTGTCTTTTTAGCCGATTTATGAAACTGTCACCGTATCCTGAACCTTTATCACGTGTTGTACTTCATATGGGGCCCACCAAGATAATGTTGCTTACTGGACTATTTTTTGCTGTTACGCCAATAACACTGGCGGTAATGACACCTGGTTACGCCGATCGGAGTTCACTAAAATTAGTGTTGCTTCGGTGTGTAAGTTTGCCATAACAATGTGGGACTCTGTAATTTTCTCTGGTCCCCTCCCTGATCTGACCAGTGATGACATGTTTAGCCGCATGTCGTCATTCAACTGCTGGTTGTCTAGGTGGTGTCCTGAAAACAACGTGGGCTACATACCAAGTTAGCAAATAATCTGGACTGGATGATGAGGATTAGATTATTTAATGTCTGATTAGAGGAAGAGTTTTATGCACATTTATTACTAATATAACCAGGTAGAGGTTTGTGTTCATGATTTTAGACTGAAATACTTACCAAGTCTGATGTTTTCAGACATGACCTCATTAACACCAACATCCTTCATCATCATCATCATCATCATCATCCAACAGTAAGTTAAATCTAGCATGATCAGCTTTAGGTAAATAATATAATCTTAACTTAAGTTTCGTTCAAACCTTTTGACTTGTGACCATTTCTCTTCGCCAGTAGAACCAGTAAAAATGCAACACATAGAGATGCAAGAGGCAACAAGATGGCAGGAAGAGATGAAGATGAGGCAGAATGGAGAGAGGCAGGTGTGGTTGTAGGAGCAGAGGTGGTGGGTTTCTCTGAAATAAAAACATTTCAGAAACTATAACCCAGTTAATAAATGATAAAATTTAAGAATTCACCACAGAGATGAAGATCAGTGATCCTGACCTTCAACAGAGATCCAGCTGGATGGAGACTCTCCATGACCCCTGATGTTACACCTGTAGAGGCCTTGATCAGAGCTGGTCACATGGTGGAGGGTCATGTGACCTTTCGGCTCAGTCCTGATGAGGGAGCCATCTTTATAGAAAGCAGCTGGGAGGTTGGAGGGAGTGGTCTTTGTTAGACAGCTCAGAGTGACGTCATCTCCCTCCATCACAGGGAGGACAGGACTCTGCAGGATCACTGATCCACCTCAACACAGAGACAAACTACAGCATTTCATCCATTTCCACACAGCTTCATCAACACTAACTCCACAGTCTGATCTTACCAGTGACAGTGAGCTGGATGCTGCTGCTGGCTGCTCCCTCTCTGGACGAACACCAGTAAACTCCACTGTCTGATGTGAGCAAGGAGCTGATCTTACAGGTAGAACCAGCTGGTTTCCCCCATCCATCTCCACACTGAGTCCTGGTTCCTCTGGTTGTGTTCCTCCATACAGTCCATCCAGCAGAGCTGTTGTTCTCCTCACAGCTCAGAGACACAGAGTCTCTAGGAAAGAACTGAGATCTGCTGGGACTCACAGTCGAGGCTGGAAGGACTAGAAAAGTGCATCAATCAGTTGAGCTGATTCTTAGTAAAATTATTATTTTATCATCATAATATTTTAAACAAATATTTTATCCAAACTATCATTCAATCTAAATCTATAACTGTTGCTAAAAAGACTTCAGCAGTAATCATCACTGACCTTGGTTGGTTATAAAACACAGCATGAAGCAGAAAACTACAGACAGAAAAACACTGAGGTTAGACTGAGGAAGCAGCAATGTTTAAACTTATTGTTTCTTTTAATGTTGAACGAAAATATAATTAATGAGCACAAATAAATAAAGCAATGCATTTATTTTTAGTTTATTTCCATACCAACATGTTCTGATAAAGATACAATAAATCAAACAGACAAACTTTTCATTTCTACTCCTTACATCCATTTTAGTTACTGCATTCATGTCTAATCATTATATCTACCCTGATCTAAATTTAATTCACACATTCATGCCTGTTATGGCAACAGATCCAGTATCTGGGCCATTCCTGAGACACTAACAGTAAAGGATGCTTGAAACTGTCTACTTTTAACATCAAATATTTATCTATACAAATATGAATAAAAAATTGATACAATTCTGTTTTTTCTTCTTCCAATTGTTACACAATTCACACGGTCAAAAACTATATTACTCCGTGTCTAAACAGTCAGTCCAGAGTTTTTTACAATGTGGCTCGACAGAAAGCGAGCCTTTCAAAATAAAACCAAACCTCTCAATAAAATGATCTGAAAATATATCAGTCCCTTCACTGAGCACGACAAAAATGAAAGGCAAACCATAATACAAATAAGTTAAATATTTTCTATTTATGGCTCTAACAATTCCTCTAAACTTACCCCTACAGGTGGAAAATGGGTGTCGGCCATATAGGACCAGACTATGGTCTCATGAATCCTAGTTTATATGAGAGAAAAGAAGATAAACCAAAGAACTTACAGGATAAATGTTGTTCAGATGTTTTCCTCTTCATCCTCTCAGTAAAATGACTGAACCTTCAGACTTCTGCCTCGTCTCTCCTCCCCAAATAAAGACCGCCCTCTTCCTCTACGTATTCTCTACATGTTCTATGGTAATAGTGTTAACCAAAGCAGCCTCTACCAAACATTAACAGACAGAGAGGAGATGACGAAACATAATCCTGTGAATAAAGGTGAAAGCTGAAAGGCTCTGTTTCAAATATCACTGTCATCTCAAAGGTAGAAGTTTCCCTCTTGGTCTTTCTGTCAGGAGATTCTTTGCTTTCCAGGATTTTTCCAGACCTTCCAACCACATTGAAACATGCATGTTAGATTGATTAGTAACTGAATTGGCCTAATGCAACCCAGAGTGACTTTTATTGACAGCAACCTGTTCACATTGTCATGTCTGCTCTTTATCAGTCTCCGCTGTAAAAGACTCTTTTGCACTGAAACTGGAAAAGAAAACAACAATGGATGATATTACATCCAATGTGAAAATTACAGTGGCTAGCAGGTGTAAATGCACAGTAAAGGAAGGAACAAGCTACAAATACATGATTGATGCAGAACTAAAGAAGCCTTAGGAAAGCAGTGATGGGGTTTTCCCAAACAGATTCAGATTCAGGACTAAAAGATGTTGTCCTACTCTGGCCTATATAGAACTGACTCTCACTCCACCATCTGATAATCCTCCATATAGATCTTCTGACCTAGAAGGAGGTTCAGTCTGAAGCCAACAGATGGCAAAAAGCACTAACAGCCATTCAATAGTTTCATACAGCTTCAGAACATTCAGTCTATTTATATAGCACTAGTTAACAACAAGTCATCTCAAACTGCTTTACAGAGACAATTGACTCAAATCATCCAGACAGTCTTTGCAGGATGAGCATCTAGAGACAGTAGACATTGTTGGCTCTTCAGCAATCCCTCACATCACCTTCATTACAACTGAGCAGCTGACTAGGAGTTTTTAAGGAGACAGAAGCAGGACTATAGAAGCAGTGATCAATAAAACCTTCCTATATTAGAAAAGGTAACGGTGAACTAGCTCCACAGTAGCAGTAGCAGTTCTAAATTGGTATTCAGGTTAAAACAGGTAAGAGAGATCACATCGAGTTAGACACAGTAAAAGCTGAGTCCATTCTAAGAAAGAAACAGGACTAAACACTGAAAATCAGGCCCAGCTCTATCATCTATAAACAAAGGTGTTGATGGCAGCACATTTAACAATAGCAAATACAGCAAAAACAACTTAATTACAGATTAAAGTCATCTTAGAATGTAGGAGAAAATCTCTTGTATGAATGAAGGACATTGTTCTGCTCTCAGAAAGAACAGGACATGAAATTATGATGGTTTTCAAACCTTTGAAATCTTGAACATGTGAAAAAGAATAAATAAAGATTTCTTTGTCAAAATATATATATTTTTTTAAGTTATGCATTTTAGGATTATTTTAACAGTGGTGTGATGATGCTGGTTTCTCAGCACAGCAGTGAAGAGAGAGATAAACCAACCAACATGGAGGAAGAGGGCGGTCTTTATTCTGAGTCTATAGCCAGAAATGAAAAGCCGTCAGATGAGTGAGAGGAACCATGAAGGAAACACCTCAGAGCCTGCTGCTTTGTAAGTACAGAACATCTGAGTTAGAAAGATTATTACTGGCTGCTCTGATGATGATTGATGGAGGAACAGAAGGAGGAGAAACAAGTTAGACTGAGTTAATGAAAGAGGTGAAATGAGCAAGATAATGCTAACCTGTGAGCTAAACATGTAAAATCAACCTAGAAAGAACTAGAACTGGATCATGGAGGTCTCCTAGATGTCTGCTTCTACATCACAGACCTCTGTTTAATATCATAACTATGAACTTTGATTTAAATCCGTCTGAACGTGTTTTCTGTAGGTCTGAGCTTCCTGCTGTGCTGCAGAACAAACCAAGGTTAGAAACATTTTTGCTTGAACTTTCTGAATGGTCTCTTAGAGGAACATGGGACATTTATTCACGTTTTTATAAGGATTATAGAAAACAATAAATATCTTATTTTTTAAAATAGATTATTTGATTTAGGTCAGGGGTCACAACTTCTTTTAGGCTTAAAGCTACTTCATGTGTGCTGAGTTATGTGAGTAGTTACCAATACTGAACTACGGACTAAAGGAATCAGCTTTCAGCTAAACTTCATCCATAATAAACATGTTTTTAATGTTTATATTAATGTCTACTTTTCCGTTGTCATCTTGAAATCTCTATAAATGCAAGTGTCATTACAGAAAGGGCAACAGAATATATTAATATTTGCCCACTCATGAGTTATGTCATTTCTAGAAGATACTGAGGGCACCCCATGTGATCCTTGAGCCCTTGGTGCCCATGGGCACCACATTGGTGATCCCTGATGTAGGTGTAACTGTGTTCAATAATGAATAAATATATATTTAATCCTAAAGGACTTTTATTTCCAACCTCGCAGCTGCTCTGACTGTGAGTCCCAGCAGATCTCAGTTCTTTACCAGACAGTCTGTGTCTCTGAGCTGTGAGGAGAACAACAGCTCTGGTAATTCTACTATATGGAGGAACACAGCTGAAGGAAACAACAGGTGTGGAGATGGATGGGGGGAACCAGCTGGTTCTACCTGTAACATCAATTGGTTGATACCATTAGACAGTGGAGTTTACTGGTGTTCGTCCAGAGAGGGAGCAGCCAGCAGCAGCATCCAGCTCACTGTCACTGGTAAGATCAGACTGTGGAGTTAGTGTTGATGAAGCTGTGTGGAAATGGATGAAATGCTGTAGTTTGTCTCTGTGTTGAGGTGGATCAGTGATCCTGCAGAGTCCTGTCCTCCCTGTGATGGAGGGAGATGACGTCACTCTGAGCTGTCTAACAGAGACCACTCCCTCCAACCTCCCAGCTGCTTTCTATAAAGATGGCTCCCTCATCAGGACTGAGCCCAAAGGTCACATGACCCTCCACCATGTGAACAGCTCTGATGAAGGCCTCTACAGGTGTAACATCAGGGGTCATGGAGAGTCTCCATCCAGCTGGATCTCTGTTGAAGGTCAGGATCACTGATCTTCATGTCTTTGCTTCCTGACTTCAATTCATAAAGTCTCATCATTTACTGACTGGATAATAACTTTAGAAATGTCTTTATTTCAGAGAAACCAGAAACAAACTCTGCTCCTCCAACCACACCTCCTCCTCCTCCTCCTCCTGCCTCCTCTTCATCTCTTCCTGCCATCTTGTTGCCTCTTGCATCTCTCTTTGTTATGTTTCTACTGGTGTTACTGGTTCCACTCATCAATAGAAATCTTCACAAGTCAAAAGGTGAGAAATAAACTTTTGATTTAATGACTTTTTTTTTTTTTACCAAATTGGTTTGAATGATTATTCTAAGTTACTGTTTAAAATACAGGACGTCAGACATCTTAACATAGTAAAAACCAGCTTTGATGATGATGATGATGATGATGATGATGCTGATGATGATGATTCAGTCTAAATCATGGATAAAAACCTTATTATCAGTCAGATTATTGTGATGATTTGATTTTAGCATCAAAGGAAATATTCCTGTTCCTGAAAATCTCCCTGGATCCTGATCTGGTTCCAGTCTGTCAGATCTGAGCTCTACCAACCTGCTGGATGCTGTGGAGCAGTTTGACACCTACAGATCAGTTTGTTGATGTTAAACTGGAGGAACTCTGTTGATGCTGCTCTAAACTATTTTCACTTTCAGACTTTATTCTACAAATAACACTTTAAGGCTAAATTTACATATTTAAATCAAAGGTTTTCACTTTATTTTATTTATTTCCTTATCAGACATTGAACAATATAATCCTTATCTCGCTCAGTTTACCTGGTGATTTCATGTCTATGAAGGAGTCAGTGAGGAAACAGGTTAACATGTTGGAGCGTCTGTGTCTGCAGGCTGTGGTTGTTCTGTTTAACAGACTAGCAGCTCTGTGGTCGTCCACTTTCCTGTTTATCATCAAAACGTTTCTGCAGAATCTAAACTGCCCCCCAGAAACAAATAATAGAAACCTAAACATGTTTATAACTACATAATAAAAGAAAGTCAGTCAAAAATAAATTTGTTTCATTCATGCATGAGATAAATTAAACATTATAGTCATTGCAAAGCCTCTAAACATGATTAAAATGATGTATTTATATAAAACTAAACCAAAGATAAATGTTAATTTAACAGGGTCAACATTTTAGCAATAAAAATCTCCCAGGTATTTAAAAATTGAACAAAAATTAATGTAGTTAATGTTAAAAGTGAACTTGGACATTACTTTTATAAGGATTTCATAAAATAAGTAAGTTTTCTAGTCTCAGAGATTTTTGTGTTTAGGGCAAAGCAAGTTGATTTATTGCACGATTAACTACAAAGATAATTCAAAGTGCTTTACATGAATTAAACAGTGAAATAGAATGAAAATAAAAGCAAATAAAATAAATAGATGATAAAAGCAGTAAAACAAATAAAACAGATGGATCAGAACCTTAAAATAATAAAACCTCAGTTAACAGTTTAACTCCATCAGTCAAAGGCAGCTCTAAACTAATGGGTTTCTAACTGTGACTTCAGAGAACTCAGGCTTTCAGATCTTTTCCATTTCAATTCAGTTTATTTCTATAGCGCCAATTCACAACACATGTCATCTCAAGGCACTTTACAGTTCAACCAGATCATACCCTCACACTAAGCATGCTTGTAGCAACAGTGGAGAGGAAAAACTCCCTTTTAACAGGAAGAAACCTCCAGTAGAACCAGGCTCAGTGTGAGCGGCCATCTGCTGAGGCCGACTGGGGTTCAAGGAGACAGAAGCAGACATAGAAAAAGCAGCTGTAAAAGGCGGCCCCGTCCAGGAAACACACAGTCAGGCAGACGAGCTCCCATGTCAGAGGATGAGGAGAGCACATCCAGTTAGTCACTGTCAGAGAAACAGGACTACACTGAAAAACAGGCCAAGCTCCAACATCTATAAACAAAGGTGTTGATGGCAGCAGCACAGATGATATTTCTCTCCAGGATGGAGTCACAGTCTTCTGGGAGTTTGTTCCAGATCAGTGGAGCATAGATGCTGCTTCTCCATGTTTGGTTCTAGTTCTGGACGGACAGAAGAGGCTGGAACTAGAAGACCTGAGTGGTCTGAGAGGCTGATACACTGACAACAGATCTGTTATGGATTGAGGTGCTGATCTATTGAGTGATTTCTAGACTAACAGAATGATTTTAAAGTCTATTCTCTGAGCTACAGGGAGCCAGAGGAAGGACCTCAGAACCGGACTGATGTGATCTACTTTCTTAGTTCTAGTGAGAAAACGGGCAGCAGGGTTTTGGATCAGCTGCAGCTGTCTGATGGACTTTTTAGATAAACCTATGAAGACACTGTTTGACTCATTCCATTTGTTCAGAGGGTTAAACCTTAAATAGCAAAACAATCTATAAATATATCTAAATGAAGAAAAGGAATCATCTCAAACAGTACATAATTACTACCAAACACTCGTCTTTTTAGCTTAGAGACACCGTGAGATAAACAAACAGGAGAGGCTGGTCCTTCTCTTCATCACTTTGGGTTTAGATCCAGGCGATGGTTCCTGAGTTCTTAAACCAAGATCCAAGGCAGAGCTTTGGACTTTCAGTCTGACCCAGTTAGATCTCCTCTCATCTCTCTGTTGTTCATCTCTCAGCATTAACACTGTTTCTGTCATTGTGTTTTTCTTCTGTCAGATGGGATGGAAACCTTCTCTCAGTTCCTCAGGACAGAGTTCAGGGAGGAAGACATCAAGTTCTGGTCGGTCTGTGAATACAGAACCACTGATCCAGGAACAGAGCTGCTGTCCAAAGCCAGATCTATTTCTACAGCCTTGATGGAAGCAGAGGCCTCCAAGCAGGTAGGAGGGGACATGTTCATGTCTGCAGAGCTGCAGAGATCTTCTGCTGCATCAGGAGCTGAAATGATCAGAGAGCATCTAGTGTTCTGATCCGTTCCAGCTGAAACATGGAGTCCCTGTTAGAAACATGTCTGTGGGTGAGGACTAAACCCTCCATAGTCATCAGCTGGCTGGGAGCTGAGCTTTAAGAACAATCATCAGGTGGAGCCTGCTGAGGTCTAACAGCAGCTAAAGACGCAGCTGAGCTCCTCAGACTATTAGCTCTGAGATAAATGATCATTAATGATTATTATTGAATGAGGACTAAACCCTCCATAGTCATGAATTAACTCCACCTGCTATGTGGCGACCTCTGACCCAGTGAAACCTCTAGGTGGGACCAGTTTACTGTGGTTACCAGTTAGAACTGCGGTAGAATAACACCCCCCCAACATTCCTCAGAGTTAAAGAAGCATTACATTGAAATTGATTTGTTATACATTTTTAGAAGATCTATGAACTTTAAGCTTCTTATTGTAAATTTCTATTTATTTGCTTCATATGACAAAACTGATCTAATTAATAGATCTGATCTTATATCAGCTCTAATCTTCAAAATTTAAGGTTTTCTATGTTTTCATTTTAAATGTTTGACCTGCAGTGTTGCTTCATTCTAACCAGAGGTTGTTTATGTTCCAGTAGAACCAGACCTCATCTACTCCTCAGTGAGGTAGTCCACCATCTGACCTCTGACCTCCAGCTGCTGCCTTCTGACTGCTTCATCCAACAGACTCTGTTTACTTCATCTTTTTATGTTCAAGTGTTTATTATCTCATTCAGGTTGAACCCATCATCTAAGTCTGAGAAAAAAGAAAAAAAACGGTCAGTGTATGTAGAATAAAAACATAAATTTTTAATGAATTTTCTTTATTGAAAGTATTTTGTGTGGTTTATCAAACCAGGTGCGACAGCAGAGTTTTCACACCTCCTGTGGGTCTGTCGGTTTCAGAGTAGAAAATAACTGATGTGCTGCTGCTTGGTTGTTTCTACTTGATGCACCATGTAAGTGAAGAAAAGTAACCGCAGACTAAAAAATGCTTCAGTGGAAACTTTAAGAGAAGAGCCACAGTGAGTGTGGGCAGCTGAACGGTTCTGACGTTTTTAACCCTTTGATAGAGCTTGTTTCCAGTTTCAGGAGGAGTTTTATCTAAACATGTGCCGACAAGCCTACATTTTCCTCACTTAGTCTGAATTATTATTTTTTTTATAACGGCTCAGGTATAGCCTGTTAGCTGCAGGTTCTGATAAAGATTTTCTACAGAATACAGAGGGACTGTCAGGTTGAATTAGTTTTTAACGTTTTGCAGAATAAAAATGGACAGGTGCTTGAACCCCTAATATTGGTAAAAAAAAAAGTAGAATTCCTTAATATGTCATTAAAAACACCCATATACCTCATAAAAATGAAAAAGCACAGACAAAAAATGCATAAAAATCACATTTCATCTTAGAAAAAAGGATGAACATGTGGATTTGTTTATAAAGACGGGGCTCTACTAAGTTTAAACCCTGGATGAATAGTGCATGCTGTAGATGGAGGACAGAGTTACCTTTCCCACTGTTTCCAGCTCCTTTAAATGTTTCTTGATAGATTTCCAGGTTTTTTTCATTCTCTGTGAGTCTCTCTGTAAGGAACAGGCTCTTAAAGGGTCCTGCCAGGGTCAGAACAGCAGGATCCAGTATTTGAAGCAGAAAACAGTTAAATTTCACAAACATTTTATAGTTAACTGAACTGAAGTGAGCAGCGTCTGCATCTAACCCAGGAACCTCTGCAGGAGGAGACAACAGGTTAGTGACCACATTGTTCTGGAAGAGGATGATAATGAACATGTGAGTCACTAACCTGGTCTTACACTTCAGGCTGAGCCCAGATGGTGAGGTTGGTTCTAGCAGGTCAGCTGCCAACGTGGAGCAGGAGTTGCAGCACAAAGAGCCCCAGACGCTGATGTATCGGAGGTTGGACGACAGGCAGGAGATCAGAACCGAATAAATGAAGGAAGACAGGATGATCCAAAGGGTGAAGCCAAACCTGATGTCGATGATATGCTCAATAGTCAAAGCCTGCAGGTGAGAGATCGAGTGAGGTGCTGAGGGAGAATCCAGAATGGAGTCGGGTAACAGTTCCAGGTACGGTACACAGACTGGCAGAGATCTGGCAGGAGTAAGAAGCAAGTCGGGCAAGCAGGTCAGACTGGGACAACAGACTCAGAGGTCGAAGGGCACAGCAGGTCAGGATCAGGTAATTAGACTACAGGTACGCTAGAAAACTTCTGCCCAATGGCTAGAAAATAATCTGGCACTGATGACTGGTCTGAAGGCTGGTTAAATAGAGACTAGTGCAGGTGGATTGGATGAGTGGTAATGAGAACTGGGCGGAGCTAAGCAAGTGCGTGAAATGAGTAATCAGGCCAGACATCAGTACCAAGATCATGACAGGGCCTTCATGAATGCTCATCTTTAAACTGGACAATCATATTCAGAAAAGATCTTAACTAATTAACAATCTCTCCAGTTTCTACCCGGAAAGTTGTTTAACTCGACTCCCCAAGACCTGACTTTGAATCACACACCATTAGTGAGCTTAGTCAACCAACAGGTATCAAGAACACCTTAAGAACTCCTCACAACTTCATGGAGGTCCAGTGGAATGCCAGCCTGGAATGCCAGACTGATAAGCCATACACACGGTGAAAAACTGATAGATCTCTATTTTAAAGGCGGGACTAACAGGGTCAGCCTCAGTAGGTTTTAACAAATCAAATGACTATGGGTGACACAGAAAAACTTCAAGCAACAAGCTCTGTTTTTCATTTTGCAGTCAGTGAAAGATGTCAGTGTGTCGAAGAAACTCTCCAGTGACCATACCCTGCAGGGTTTAACCAACAAAATCTGAGAATATAAGGTTTATAAGGTATTGAAAATTAGGCTAGATGATGATAAAAAGCAGAGAAAACATAGAATATTGCAGGATAGTCATGTATGAATGAAGCATATATTTTGTCTTTTTAGAAAAGGTTGAAAACAACATTTTGTTGCTCAATCTTTTAGAATTTTGAACATGTGCATAAGATAAAATTTTCTATGTCCATAAATGTTGATAATGTGCTTTTTAGGATTATTTAGACAGTTACAAAATGTTGACAATACACTGCTGGTCTCTCTGCACCATCATGAAGGCACCAACCTGCACACTTTATTCTGTGTCTGTAGTTGTGTAATTTCAGATGCCTCATTATTTATCAGTCTCATAGATCCGAGTTTCCCCTGTAAACTCAGGAGAAACGTTGCTAACAGTCTATTCTGCAGTTCTTGGGTTAGTTAGCGCCACCTGACAATAATCAGCAGGTGATAAGAATGAAGATGGAGCTGTCATCCACCATGTTGAGTATAATAATGATGATGATGATGATGGTAAACCACTGTTCTCTCAGGAACAATCAGAAGAGAGAGAGAGAGTCCAATCAGGACTCTCCTATAGAGGAAGAGGGCGGTCTTTATTCTGTGTCTTCAGGAGGAAACAAAAAACTGTCAAATGAGAGAGAGGAACCATGAAAGGAGCCCAGCAGAGCCTGCTGCTTTGTAAGTACAGAACATCTGAGATTAAGAGATTATTATTACTGACTGCTGAGCTGATGATTGGTGAAGGTGGAGGATAAACAAGTTAGAGTGAATTAAGGGTTTAAAACTTGTAAGATAAAATATCGTCTTAATATGTGATCTGAACACATCAATGCAGTTACTAAAGAACTACTAAACCAGAACCAGATCATCTCCTGCATGTCTCCTTCTACATCACAGAGATTAGTTTAATATCAGAGCTTTAAACATTGATTTAAACCAGTCTAAATGTGTGTTTTTCTTTAGGTCTGACTGTCTTGCTGTGCTGCAGAATAAACCAAGGTTAGAAACCATTTTAGTTGGATACTTGGATGCTTTAATTATCTCTTAGCTGTTGGTAAAAATGCTATCTGGTGCTTTCTGCAATAGATATTATAAACCAGAAAAAATATCTGTGCTGCTTTCTGTTTCTCAATTAATTACCAACTACTCCACAATCTCTTCCGTAACCTTTTGTGTTTTTAATATTTCAATTATTGCAATCAGTAAGTTTAATATCAGTCCTTCCAGCTGCTCTGACTGTGAGTCCCAGCAGATCTCAGTTCTTTGAAGGAAACTCTGTGTCTCTGAGCTGTGAGGAGAACAACAGCGCTGATGGATGGACTGTATGGAGGAACACAACCAGAGGAACCAGGACTCAGTGTGGAGATAGATGGGGGAGACCAGATGGATCTACCTGTAACAACAGCCACCTCCTCCCATCAGACAGTGGAGTTTACTGGTGTTCATCCAGAGAGGGAGCAGCCAGCAGCAGCATCCAGCTCACTGTCACTGGTAAGATCAGACTGTGGAGTTAGTGTTGATGAAGCTGTGTGGAAATGGATGAAATGCTGTAGTTTGTCTCTGTGTTGAGGTGGATCAGTGATCCTGCGGAGTCCTGTCCTCCCTGTGATGGAGGGAGATGACGTCACTCTGAGCTGTCTAACAAAGACCACTCCCTCCAACCTCCCAGCTGCTTTCTATAAAGATGGCTCCCTCATCAGGACTGAGCCCAAAGGTCACATGACCCTCCACCATGTGACCAGCTCTGATGAAGGCCTCTACAGGTGTAACATCAGGGGTCATGGAGAGTCTCCATCCAGCTGGATCTCTGTTGAAGGTCAGGATCACTGATCTTCATCTCTTTGTTTCCTGACTTGAATCATTTCTCTTAATTTTTCTTTTTAATGTCTTTATTTCAGAGAAACTCACCACCTCTGCTCCTCCAACGACACCTCTTCACTTCACCTTGTTATCTTGTATATCTCCTTTTGTTGTTGTGTGTCTACTGGTTTTGCTGGTTCTACTCGTGAAGAAATATCGGCACAAGATAAAAGGTGAGAAAAAATTATCTTGAGTTCCTAATCCCACTTTTATCCCAATGATGCCTAATTTAAGTTGCAGCTTTTTTTCCAAGATATTTAATCAAGTAGAAAAACAAGTTCAAAATGTTTAACCATTGGTTCAGTTAATTTTCCCAGCAGTGAACAATATCAAGAACTGGATTGAGGGTAATCTCAGTTTGTTTAAGCTAATAGAGACATTACGTTACATACATTGATGTTCAACTAACTCAGCAGCAGAAAGTCAAACCCAGCAGAGGTGAGGATGATGATGGAGGCTGAGGTCCAGCCTGAAAACATCACTCTCAGTGGATTTTTGTCTAAAATATGTTTTTGAGCCAATGTTTTCTAATGTAATTTTTCTTAAATTAGAAAGTTTAGTTTTTTTCAGTCTGCATTGATCAACACTGAACAATCAGAGCTTCTTTGGACACCAGAGTGTCCTTTCTTGCTTGGTGTGTTTAAAGCAGTCAGTGAGGACATGTGTCATGGCGTCTGTCTCTGCAGACTGTGGTTGTTCTGTTAAACAGACTAGCAGCTCTGTGGTCGTCCACTTTCCTGTTTATCATCAAAACGTTTCTGCAGAAAACCACCTGCAGAATCTAAACTACCCCCCAAAATACAAATATTAGAAAACTAAACATGTTTATAGTCTTTAACTATAATATACTCAGTCAAATATAAATTGTTTTCATTAATGCATGAGATACATTCATATATTTATAAATAACATATGTATTTATATAAAACTAAACTGAAGGTAAATATGTGTTAAACAGGGTCAATGTTTTAGCAATGAAAATTCCAAGGTGTTTAGAAATTAAACAGAATTGGATAAACTTGATTATTAGAAATTCCTTTTAAAAAGGTTCCATAAAACAAGCAAAATTTTATTTATTGCATAATTCAGTAAAAAGATAATTCAAAGCGCTTCACAAGAATTAAACACTAAAATAAAAGGAAAATAAAAGCAGAATAAAAGCAAGTAGAGATGAAAAAATGATAAAAGCAGTTAGTAGAACAAATAAAATAGTTGGACTGCAAACTTAAACTAGTAACACCTCAACAGTCAAATGCAGCTTTAAACTAAAGGGTTTTTAACTTTGACTTCAAAGAACTCAGGCTTTCAGCTCTTTTCCAGTCTTCTGGGAGTTTGTTAAGATCAATGGAGCATAGATGCTGCTTCTCCATGTTTGGTTCTAGTTCTGGACGGACAGAGGAGGCTGGAACTAGAAGACCTGAGTGGCCTGGGAGGTTTAATCAAGATTCAGGATTTAAAACTTCTTTATTTGTCACCCAGCCTGGAGTGGTTCTCCAGTAGGGAACCACTTCAAGAAAAGAAAAAACACAAAGACAATATACTGAAATACATAGATAAAGGAAAAAGATGCTGTTGCCAAGATCCTTTATCACATAAACTGTTCTCTACTCCTTTGCTCACCATTTACTGTGTGCCTCTTCTTCTACATTAAAATATATAATCAATTATCACAGAAATTTAATCATTGTTTTACTTTAATTACCAATTTGCTACATCTCAAACAGTATGTAATTACCACCAAACACTCGTCTTTTTAGCTTAGAGACACAGTGAGATAAACAAACAGGAGAGGCTGGTCCTTCTCTTTATCACTTTGGGTTTAGATCCAGGCGATGGTTCCTGAGTTCTTAAACCTAGATCCAAGGCAGAGCTTTGGACTTTCAGTCTGACCCAGTTAGATCTCCTCTCATCTCTCTGTTGTTCATCTCTCAGCATTAACAGTGTTTCTGTCATTGTGTTTTTCTTCTGTCAGATGGGATGGAAACCTTCTCTCAGTTCCTCAGGACAGAGTTCAGGGAGGAAGACATCAAGTTCTGGTCGGTCTGTGAATACAGAACCACTGATCCAGGAACAGAGCTGCTGTCCAAAGCCAGATCTATTTCTACAGCCTTGATGGAAGCAGAGGCCTCCAAGCAGGTAGGAGGGGACATGTTCATGTCTGCAGAGCTGCAGAGATCTTCTGCTGCATCAGAAGCTGAAAATGATCAGAGAACATCTAGTGTTCTGATCCGTTCAAGCTGAAACTGAAGCTAAAGACGCAGCTGAGCTCCTCAGACTATTAGCTCTGAGATAAATGATCATTAAGGATTATTACTGAATCTGTTTTTACATTTGAAGTCAAACTATAGCAGAAATGTTTGACTATTAGTTCAGGTTTAGATCTGGAATCAGAGTAGATGGATAGGAATGACTTTATCTCCTGGTAGTTATCATAATAATGAGAATGATAGAAAACCCAGAGCGCATTAGAGAGGAAGGAGCAGGAACCCTGAGCTGATAGAGGCAGAGGAAGGAGCATCCAACATGGAGGGAGGTCAGCAATGAAGCTCAGAGCAGAGAGACACAGATAGAGATGAAGGACACTGGCTGCTGTGATGGACAGGTTGGAATTAAAGCTTTTCTACTTCATCTATGATTTCCTGCTTCTTTAGATTGTTTCCATGGGATCAAAATGACTGACAGCTCTGATCTAATGAGTAAATATATTCCTTAGTTTTGTATTGTGTTGTTTTAAATAGTTGACCTGCAGCTTTATTCTCTGTATTTTCTTTCCTTCTAACCAGAGTGTGTTGATGTTCTAGCAGAGCTTCCAGTAGAACCAGACCTCATCTACTCCTCAGTGAGGTAGTCCACCATCTGACCTCTGACCTCCAGCTGCTGCCTTTTGACTGCTTCATCCAACAGACTTAGTTTACTTCTACATTCATGTTTCCATCATCCTGCTGTTAGAACATTTCTCTCTATGTAGAACTAGAGCACTCAGAGAAACCAGACCAGATCCAGATCACCACCAAAGTTTAATGGCTTCTAAGTTGGACTAAGACTCACCAATGGTGAACATTTCACAACAATTTGGTCTTAACTGTTTATTTAATCAAACGGTTCTTTGGCAGTTTAGTCCTTTTGACAAATTCTCTTTTCAAAAACTATTTTCTTTGGTTCAGATTATTAATCCAGGTGTGATAAACCTCCTGTGGGTCTGTGGGTTTCAGAGCTGATAGAAAATATCTGATGTGTTCCTGTTTGGTCTTTGCTGCCTGATGCACCACTGATCTGTAGAGCAGCAAACAAAGAACAATAAACCACAGACTGAGAAATGCTGCAGTGGAAACTTCCAGAGAAGAACCACAGTGGCTGAAGCTGCTGAAAGGTTCTGACTTCACTTTTAGAAACTTTCCTTTTAGAAATTTAAAACTGCCTTAGGAACAGCTAATTAAAATAATACTGTGTATAAATCTGTTTTTGCATCAGTATTTGTTGTCAGCCTTTTAAATGTAAAAAACAACATATTTTCTCTTTTAACAAATCTGCATAATAAAATAAAATATACAAACATAGTTTTAGTCTTTATTTAAAAAAAGGCATCAGTCAAATGACACCAAACCAATGCTGAGGAGTTTTGATACCAGAGAAGATCCACAGAGACAGACTTTCACTCTCTGCAGGGTGTTATGTCTAAACTTTATAATCAGAAAAACAAATTCCATAGTTTTGTTGAAATAATGCGACAAAATGCTGTTATAACACCGCTGTTATACTCCTAACATCAAAGATACTTTATTATCATTAGTTAAACCACTTTTGTACAATCATTTAACTTAATGAGCCGATGTCAGATGAATTTGGATCTAGAGTCATGATTCAACAGAGGAAACAACAAAGGACTGAACACACATCCCTGAGGACCTCCTGATCAGTTTATTTATTATTATTTATTTTCTCACCAAGAGAGTTTTTCATTTATGCAGAGAAAATATCTTCATCTGGGGTCTGATTGAAGAGACTTAATGTTATATTTGGACAAGAGAAGGTGACAGCAGGTTGAAATTGTTTCCTAGTTTAGTTACAGAATCTAAAACAGTGTTTAACTGTTTAATTTCTCTTCTTATACCAGATTATATTGGATAAAAAACAATAATCTTGTGTGTTTGATTATATAACCTATTCAAAATGAGATCAAATATTCAGTGGTATTTCTGTGGCCCCTTAGTGATAGTGTCACTCCCCCTAACGGTAGGATTGTGCATTACAACAAATTAAAAGGCCTAAATAATTATCATTTTATAGTAAAAGGAAATATAATAATCTATTTGGGTTTTTCTTAAAACTACCTAAGAAATATGTGCTTTATAAAATTGTTTATTTTAAATATTTATTGATTTTTGTGTTTTATGCATATTTATTATCTCTCTAAAAAATAGAGCTAATTAATTCATCTATCAAGGACACACATGGGGATGGGTCCCATGCAAAGCACTCAGGTTGGGTTCACCATGATCTCCTCCTTATAAAGCTTTGATCCATGGCAGAGCTGTGTATTCACTGCATTTGTCTAGTTTTTGTTTCTAAAGTTCAGTTTTTTTCCTTAATAGACCTCTCTGTGGAAGCTAAGCATGACAAGGGTTAATTTTCACTCTAAGAAACTTCTGCCATGAATTAGATGCTTTTTGAGGCTTTCAGCACAAACTGAATTACCTGAACTCAATAAAAAGTTTGAAAAGAGTCAATCACAGCATTTCAGTCCTCCTGTGGTCTAAAATGTCCTGTGCTAAGTGTACCAATTGACATCTTTATACGTCTTTATTATGGACGTTCCCTGAGTTGCTCAGAAGTCAAATAATGAAACACCATTAGGGCTCAAAGCTGGGGTCCCTGTTGTTTCCAACATGAGAAGGCAGAATGATGGTATCCCCAGGTTGGCTGCCATCATTAGGCTGAAACAACAGTCAGAGATCCTCCCCTATGGGAGCGGGGAGGTATGAAGCCTCTTCTCCTCTTGGATGAACTCCAACATGAAAAGCTGAGCAAATTTTTTAGGGATTTTTGAACTGTTCTCTGTCTGATCAATCACCTCCAGCCTGTTTGTCAGTGGAGACCCTACCAGGGGCATTTAAGTCCCTGAGAATAAAGCCTCTGGGTGGTTCAAGAATGGGTATTTTTGGTGAATGGAATTTAAAAAGGTTTTAAATGACAAAAAATAAATAAAATCCGGAATATATACTTTTATATTTTTTAATATATAATGTGAAACTGCTAGATTAACATTATCAATACTGTATTTTGTCTTGTAAAAATATTTGATTTTATACATTTAATATTCACAAATCTAGGTGTTGGATATTAAAAAAAAAACTCACATTTTCTGCAGGATTTTATATTATAAACATATATATATATATATATATATATATATATATATATATATATATATATATATATATATATATATATATATATATATATATATATATATATATATATTGAACATTTTTGTATTTAAAAAAAAAGTATGTAAAACTTTTCTTTTCTTCAGCAGTAAAACGCCAAGAACATTTTCTCTCCATAATGAGAATCTAATGACCTGCAGGGGGCAGTAGAGTTCAATCTACCAGTGCAAACTTCCTTCATCAGCAAAATTAAAAAGAAACTCAAAATGTATTTACTTCCCCTGGTGTTGTGAAGCGGTGCTATATAAATACATTAAATAATTAAAATTATTAACATTTGATACCCCTAGGTTAAACTAATGTAAACATGTAATATATATAAAAAAAAACAGACACGACTGTGCTCCTCTATGGAAATAATTTATTTTAAAGAAAAATTTCAATGATTGTTATTTTTTCTACAGAAAAGAGATCAACTAAATCTAAAAGAGAAATATTTGATCTGTAGAAAGAATAAAAACAGCTGTGGTTGAAACATCTTCCTGTACGTCAACATCTGTAGGTCATAAAACAGTACGTCTAAAATTGACCTCCTTAGATCTTTTATTTTCACTGAAAATCATCTGTGAGGCTTTAGTCTGATATTTTCCTTTTTCAGAAAGAATTGTGACACAGTGGCTACAACTAGTAAAGAAAGATCCAATTTCTTCTCTGAACCCTGAAAAAATAATAACAGTCCAAGACGGTATACATCCAATCAAGGATTTTTTCCTGGTCTGCAGTTAATAAAGCTTTAGAAATTGACAGCAAACACAATGTGATTAGTCTCGTTTTACTAAGAAATGGCAAAAGAAAATAATCCCTTTATCATGTCTGAAGAAAGAACTTGTTTCCCTCTGATCCACACAGAGCTGCTGTGTCCTCCAGGCTGATTCCACCTGATATCTGATTTTTAAAATTAATCTGGATTATTCATGTTACTGGATGACCCAGTGAGACACCAGCAGCTAGATCTATGCTACTGGGCTGCTGGGTGACATCTTTAGAGAGTAGATGATTTCTGAAACTTGTAGAAATTCAGTATATAGAAAAGTTCTGGTCAAAAAATAAAATTAAAAAACACCTGGAGGTAAACTGTAATTTGTAAAAGAGAAACCAGTTCCAACCAGGAGACAAAGACGTGAGATATTTGAATTCGTTTTTTATTATCCCAGCAGATGACCTGCATTATAGGAACATGGTGACCTTTAAACCCCACCTGGTTTACTGATGGTCTTCATATTTTCCCCTGACAGAAAACTAGTGAACATCTGAGTAAGATCCAAATTAATTCCTCACTCACCCTCCTTTCCCATGGATTTAAAGGTCATCTATTGGTCCGATGTGCTAATTTATTAAAATTAAATAAAAAAGAATCCACGCCTATCTTCAGTAGTGGATAGTTGATCAGGTGGGTGTTACTATAGCAACCAGAAACGGTCTCTGTCTGCAGAGATGATGGATTTCTTACAATCCAGAGCTGAAGTCTTCTGTTCTCTTGAGCGAATAAACCACAACTGTACTGATGTCTGTAACAAAAAAAAACACAAAAATTACTCATGAGCAAACATTAGTTTCCTGCTTCAGATAAAATACTAGGCAGGGGATAAAAAAAAAAACTCTTGCTGATAATATAATTTGGGGGAAATGAGTTTGTCAGTAGTGGGGGGAGCCACATAGTTCCTATTTTCTGTGGTCAAACAGACCACAGAAAATCATAAACAGAAAACAAAGAAGGAACCGTTGGCTGTTTACTGCTGATGTTTCAGAAAGACGGAAGCTGCATAAGGAGATGATATGGAATGTGGAACAATATTTTTCCTTGGCCTATTTGTGAGCTAAAATGTTTGTGCCAGAAAAATCCTGTACCAGCCTTTATGTTGTATTGTTTAAGGTAGGGGGGGGGGGGGGGGGGGGGGGGGGGGGGGGGGGGGGGGCAGAAAGCAGATGCCCCAATACTCTAAATAAGGGTGAAGGGAAAGTCATGAGAGATAAGAATGAGTTCACAGCCTCCTTCATGCTGTGAACAGAAGACCTGTTCTGAGTTTTTATCTGGTTAAAATGTATGTCCTTGATTAATTAAATTGTTTTTTTCTTGGGAATGACCAAATTGTGTGAGAAAGATCTTTATGCAGGGGGTGGGTTCGTCCCCTGGGGGGAATGTGTTTGCATAAGGTATAAATGTATGTACTGAAATGCATCAGTCATAGAGAGCTCTATCTCCCTCTGTCCAAGGACGTTAAATACATTTGAACATTACTTCTTGCAAGAAATGCTTCCGCCTCAGCTTCCTAACTTCACAGGAGACAAAAACAATTAGAACCAAAAGTAATGTTACCTCTGCTTTGTTCAAGAAATATCAGTTATGATGAATCTCTGTAAATTATATAAGATCAGAGTTTTTTAACTGTCTTTTCTAGAAAAAGAAGAGACTGGAGATTGGTTGCGATGACCCAAATAAATCGAGCATTTCTGTTTCTCTAAGCAGCCT